CATTCCGAAGTTGCCTCATTTCGGTAATATTTATTTCTTTCGAGTGCTTTTCGCAAGAGGCAGACCGCAAATTTAATTGCACAAAAGTTTTGTCCAAAAACCAAAAATGATGAAATGAGCAAGTTTCTCGTTTGCGGCTTTTTGACTAATCAAAATGGGGAGGGAAATGCTTTTTAATTGCAACTCTGCCAAAAATCAAAGACAACAACTCGAGTGCAATTAGTTATAAAGCGCAATATTATTAGATTTTCATTAAAAACAACTCAACAACGCAAGAGCTGGGCAAAACAATCAAATTAAAAACGAGCACTGCAAGTGCAGCCGGCCAAAGGAGCACAGAAATACAGAATTTATGGGATGCACATCGAAAGTAAAGCAAATATAGGGCTTTCAGTTCTACGGACTTAAGTCGTAGCCCCTGGCTTGAGCCATAAATTGTAACGGCTTTTGGCCCCACCTTATGCAGATTTGTTGTAACTTCAAAATAACAGAAACAGCAACAAATTGCCTGCTCCTCGAACTGACTTTTATTTGGCTTGCTTTCTGGGTTTGTTTTTCTGGCTGCCTTTACGTTTTTATTTTTCTCTCAAACATTAATCCACTAAACCGTAAACAAACGATGGCAGTCAACAAAGGACCAACATGGCGTATGAGCTATTAAGTGTAGCACATGTGAGCCGATGTGTGTGAGTGTGTGTGTGTGCAGGGGTCTAGCCATATTTTAAGCTCCCCTGCACAATCCTGCTGTTTCCGCATGCCGTTTCCAGTTTCTATTTTCAATTTTTTACCGACTGCAACTGCAAGCCGTTTTCACTTCGAATTGCAACGCTTCCAGGATTTATTGCACTGCAAGAAACTTTAAAGGTGCACAAAATACTTGGCCCCAAAGGGGGCCAAACTTTTCGATGCCAATGGTAATACAGGTCAGATTTAATTAAAAAATGTATTTGTGTTTACCAACATAAACTGTTAAAAATATTTTTAAATATTTGAAAAATTCTACAGGATTGATTGAAACCAGGGAACGTAACTGTTATAAGTTTTATTTTAAAAATCACACTTTAACAGTTATTTTCTGATTTGTAAAGTAAAACTCAAAGAATAACTGTTATTTTTTGAGTTTTATAATAAAAGTTGACAAATAACAGTTATTCGTCGTGATCAAAAATAAAACTCAAACTTGATTTATGGCGATTTTGTGGGTAAACAAAATTTTAAAAAAATATAGGTATAAAATATGCGCAGTTGCCTTTTTTAACAAATTTTTAGTAAGTTATAAAAAGCACGGGTATCATGTTTTTTTTAATTATTTCATTTTTTCAAAAATGTCAAGGGAATAACTGTTATTCATAAAAATCAAAAAATAACAGTTATTTTTTGAGTTTTATTATAAAAATCAAAAAATAAAAATCATTACGGATTTGTAAACTACAATGGCTAATAAAAATTGTTGTGTATTTAAAAAATTTTTAGGACCCTTCTAAGTGCGTGATTTTTTTGTATGAAAAATTTACAATAACAGTTATTTTCGTTCCCTGATTGAAACAAATATAATTTTTTTACTTTCATTTTTAAATCGTATGACTTAGTTCTATTATTTTAAAAATAATTAAATATTAATCACGGTACAACCATCTATATGTTTTTAATAGTCTTTAAAATGCTATGAGCAAATACGAATATTATAAATAAATAAATAAATAAATAATAATAAACTTTCCATAATTAGGTTCTTAAAAGTTAATGTACTAAAAAATGTATTAAATTCCCCGTTAATTGAATTTAACCGATTCAAAACGAATCACCCAGATTACCCAGTTACATTAAATATTTAAAAATAATTCCACTTGCTTTGTGCGGGCAAACTTGAGAATTGTGTAAATTAAATATTTATTCGCTCGCTGAAAAGTTTGCTGGCCCCGAAAGTGCTTATCCTTTCAACAGAGTCACAAGGTCGAACCGCAGTGGGGAACTCGCCTTTCATTGGCAATTTGTATTTGTTTGCCCCGTCGTTGTTTGTTGCTTTATAAGTTAAGTATTTTTATTTGAGCACAAACACAAACACAGCCACCAACACGAATACGAACAACCAGCGAGCGGCAATGAAAGTTAAACAATGTTTGCGGCTTTGCTATCCGTTTCCGCAATAATTTCTCGGATCCGCCTGCGAGCGTTTTGTGTCCTTGACACAATTTCCACAGGAAAACTTTTGATTTTGCGGCAAGATAATTTGCTAGCTGCGAAGTGGGCGTGGCCACTTAAAGTAATGCAAAAAAAGGCAGAAAATAGAGGGAGGCAGCGCGGCAATCCAAATAAGGAAATCAAAATGGCAAGGCAACATGAAAGGCGAGCGAAAATTGAACATCCTGCAGCAGGATGCGTCGAGGAAAACCAAGAGCAAGACCAAGACGAACACCATAATTATGGGTGACCGCGATAAGGAGGAAAGGAACCAGCTGAATGCCCGGGAATTGTGCGGGTCCACTCCACGTTGCATGCCAAGGACTTGGCCCCCAGGATTCTCCTCTTCCTTTGTGCCACGAGGGCTGGGAAATGGGTCTCCTCGATCCCGGACGACTGGTCACCCTGTATGGAGATGAGAAGATGGGGCGATGGGAAGATGGGACGATGGGACGATGGAGAGATGAAGATGCTGCCCCACTTTGTGCAATGAGAAATTTCCGCTCGCTCGTTCCTTTTTTTTTTCTTTTTGCTTGAAGGATGACATTTTTGCAAATTGCCATCATAATAATAATCAAATTCGTGTAAATTTGTTTGCAAATTCAAGAAGGAAATGGTGTCAGCTGCTGCCCCAGTTGCCCGCACTCACCGAAAAACCGAGATACAGATGGTTTGGGATTATCAAGTTAATAGCTTTTCTCGCAGTCGCACTCGTACTCGTTCTCGTTTCAGTTTAATGCTGATGAAATTGAAAACATAAACTACACAGAAGTGAGGAACTTGGGACAGGCTCTGCAGTGATTATGGAGATGGAAAGTGTACAGTCAAATTATTTATCCTCTCAAAACGGAAGGCAATTAATTAAGGGGGACGAAAACCAGAGTAAAATTCTCCGAATGCCCTTGGGTAATTAAAAAATCGCATATCTTGTCAACTCTTTAGGCGCATCAAAGGATTTACCCACTTCAATATGGATAATAATATAATTATTTAATTAAAAACTGCTCAAAGCGTTGGGCTTCTGCAGTGACAACGCCAATTATGCAGTGAAAAATCCATTATTTAGTAAATTAAATTTCGAACTAAGCCCCCGTGCATTGAATATTTTTCAATGCAGCTTAGGAAAGTTCCCAGGACATGAATTACAACTTTAAATTGACTTGCCTGGTATTCACACTCACTATTCCACTGGCCCCGCCTTTCACACACTCAGTCTACTTATTCAAACACCTTGTAAGAGTAATCCCCACGTTTCGAGGCCGCACAATGCGAGATCTGTTTTATGGTTACTTCAAGTGGCTTATTCCGAGGACCCCACAAAAGTAGTGAATGAATATGTGCCAGAGCACAAGGCCAGGCTCAGGTGAGCGTGAATGCACTGGGGAAAATGTAGTTTAATATAGTTTAAAATTAATAAAATTATAGATTTAATTATGATATACTTAAAATAATCTATTTATTTATTGATAAAAAATGAGTAGGTATGCTAAAATATTTAAAATTTAGAATGCCTAAGAATGCATTTCTCGTTTCAACGATAATATTTTTGTTGCATACTTTTGGAGACCTTAAATTGAAGTGTATGCTTTAAGACACCTTGCCAGTATTTTAATAGCGGCTAAGATCTAATAAATAATGATATTTCTTACACTGATAACTGAAACTGACATCCTATCAAAGTTAAAATTTTTTCTGTGTGTTTTTGGCTTAATAAAGGTGTCAGGGTGAAATGAGTGAAATAAGCCGTCCAGCTTCTTTTACCACACAATCCCCTTTTGCGAACAGATAAACCGGCATTAGCCTGATCTGTTAAGGAAACTCGCTTAATTTCAATTCCATGCGGTCACCAATCGATGGGGTAAACTAGTTCTCAACTTCTGAACGTCCCTCGATGGTGGTCGGTGGCACGTCAAAAGTTTCAGTCAACTTCATTAGGCCAAATCCGACGGCCAACAGACTGAGCCCGTCATGGTCAGCCACTTGTGGATATCCCCGATGGATATGCCCACATTCCTGATGGCCATGACGCAGCCTTTGCTCTGGAGTGAAATGAAGCAAGAACTTGCTCCAAGTTATAGGCCAGTTGCCCTTTTCCGGCTGACTGGCAGAAATTAAACGCCGTGCCCAGAGAATTAAAGGGGCACTCATTTGCAGGAGATTTCCCATCCGAAGGGCTTCACAGCTCCCACTTTTCCATGGCATCTTACCTTGGCCAAGTTGTTCGGTTTTTCGCCGCCTGATTGTGTGGAGGGCGCAAAGTTTGCCGCTCAAAAGTTCTGTTACTCGAGTATCCTGCCGAGGGTAAAATAACTTTGACACAAAAGTTGACCAAAACCTTTCGAGAGTCCACTTTCTTAACTCTTTTAAGCCCCCTCCTCTCTTTGTCTTGAATGCTAATCAAGAACGGGCGCACTCGAATCTGAATAAACTTTTAAAAGTGCGACAAAACCCGCCGAAGAGTCAAAGTTGATTGCCAATGCAATGGAGTTTCAGCCATAATTGGATGGTTCTTTAAAAGGCTTCAAATGGGCGATGAATGTGATTTGAATAGACCATTTAAGGGTTTGAATAATCTACATAAAAGAGCACACAGTGAATGAAAAATAGCCATATTAAATTGATATTCACAGAATTAATTCGTGTTTATATAAAATTCGGATTTTACCTTTAGTAATGTAAAATTTCTATGGAAACGTTTTCTATCTCTTAAAAAATACTCTGAATTTCTGATCCTAAGATGAGTAACACTTTCTTTTTTCGAAGTAGCTGGGTTTTAATAAGTCAAATCCGTAAATGTGATACTAGAAACCTTTCCGACTGCCATGAGATTCTCGACTCTTTGGAGCTCGGTGGGCGCCATGAGCTGTGGCTCGCTGGTCACCTACTTGACCCTGCGGCTGCTCGATGGCCAGAAATCCTCGAATTACGCGAGTGGTTCTGAAGGCGACTCAAGAAGGAAGATGGAACCTCTGGCCAGTGGGACGTGGCTGCATCACTGGGACCTGGACAAGCCGCAGCTGCAGAAGGTGGCCAATGGCGAGGAGTCCTCGGCCCTGCGGCACATAATCCTGGTGCGACATGGCGAGTACTCAAAGACCGCGAACGGGAGTCACCTCACGGAGCTGGGACGTCGCCAGGCGGAGAGGACGGGTCGCAGGTTGCGGGAAATGGACCTGAGCTGGGACCACGTGGTGGCCTCCACGATGCCGCGGGCCGAGGAGACGGCCATGATCATACTAAAGCAGCTGAATCTGGATCCGCTGAAGATGAAGCGTTGCACTCTGCTGCCCGAGGGCACTCCCTATCCGGGGGATCCGCCCTCGAAGCGGAGTCCCCGCAGCTTGGAGCTGGCCTACCAGCGGGATGGCCCCCGGATCGAGGCTGCCTTCAGGCGCTACTTCTTCCGGGCCAGTCCGGAGCAGCAGCACGACTCCTACCTGCTCATCGTGGGCCACTCGAATGTGATTCGCTACCTGATCCTGCGGGCCCTGCAACTGCCGCCGGCTGCCTGGACGAGGCTGAACCTGAACCACGGCTCCATCACCTGGCTAACCGTTTGGCCCTCGGGCTATGTGACCTTGCGATGTCTGGGGGACTCGGGCTTTATGCCCGTAACAGAGGTCACCCATCGGAGGCCTTCGAAGGCTAAGTCCGATGGTAACTAGCTCAGGATCCTCGAGGGACTAGCTCATTTTGCCGGACAAGTGGAAACGTGACTTCCTGCACATTTTGTTGCAAAACCACTTTAACTTTGGCCAAAATCACTTGGCCAACACACTGCCAGCTGCATCTGCATCCGCATGCCGGCACATTCGCAGTGGCCACTAACCCAGCGGCTGCCAAAGCGGTGAAAGCCGCCCACTTTTTGGCCACCCGGCAGTTGGCACATTTGCGCTACTCTTTCGGGATTGTCTCTGCTCATTAGTGCGGCTTTAATTTTGGTTATTGCGCCTGTCCCATGTTGTTCGGTTTTGGCTTCTGGTTTTCGGTTTTCGGCTGCCGGTTTCCGGTTTTCCGCCTTTGGTTTCTGGCCATCGTCAACTTTGCCAGCCGCTGGCGTTTCATTAAATTTGCATCCGTCCACAATTTGAATTTAATTTGCTGGGGGTGGCGGGGTATTGAAAATTGCATTATATTTTGGCCAACCGAGCTCCTCAACTGCCACTCTCAAACGAGTGTCAGCTGCTAAATATTTGCCTCGCCACAGAAATTCCGGAGCGCATGGAAAAAAGGCAAGTGTTTACTTTATGGCCATGTTATTGCTGTTGCGGTTGGATGCCTCAGAAAGGGGCACTCGTCGCCCATTGTAATATAAACGTATGCATATCAAGAGAGATCGCTTTAGTCGGGCACCTCGACTATCTGATACCCGATAGGCGCAATTAATAAAAGACAAGTTTAAATTTCCAAAAATATATTATGGGCATATTTGGCCCTTCAATGATAAAGCCAAGTTCGCCAACTGTAGTCCCCATTTAAATCATTTACGAGTGATCTGCCGAGGCACGTAAAAAGAACATTAGTGCCCAAAAACACTATTTACAAACAATTAATTTCCACATTACTCTATCAATATATCCAAATTTCCAATAGCTGCAATCTGCCATTCCACACCCATGTATTTGGGGTAATCATACCAATCTAGGACATTCAATTGATTTAGGAGTATAAAAGTTACTATAAGTGTGCCCAACACTGTACACAATGTAGGAAAATAATGAATAAGTCTAGGGGAAATATTTTAAACACATACTTTCGTATTCCACAGCATTATTATCAATCCCACACACAAAAAAAAAACTTGGTAAAATCAACTGTAATAATTGTCAAACAGGCCCCAACCAGCAAAATTGTCAATTCTACTAAGTAAATAGTCATTTCACAACAACAAAATACACACGATTAGCAAAGACACAAACCCAAAGCAAAAACAAAATACACGTAACTATCTTTGTTGGTCAATTTTACCAAGCAAATTTTTTTGTGTGCAGATCATATGTTGGCCACAAGATGATGAAAAGGTATGACAATACTGTTTTGTAGGTCTCCTTTTTGCCTAAAAGAAGAAATCAAATAATAACAAAAATCTTTAGTTTAGAGATCAAAACTTGTGTAACCTTAAAGAAAATATCTGGAGGAGCACATAAATAGCAAAGGCAAAATACTCCACTAGCCACAAGGAGCATATACCTAGTATCGTAATTCTGCTATTGCACATTTTGATATTTTGAAATATTCGATAAGAGTTCTGGGATAAACATAAGAAATTCAGTTTCTATGCCTGACAATAAAGTTAATGGCTTAACATTTTTTGTACAAAATTGCAGATTGCCTTAATATTTTTTTTTAATTATTGAATAATTTTAATTACTTCCGGTAATTTACTTGACATTCATTGGGCACCAATTACCAATTCTAACTAGTTAATAAAAAAATTTATAGCCTTCATTTGAATCTTAAAATCATTATGAATTAATTCAAAAATGACTAAAATCGTATTTGGAAAATTATTTCAAGATAAATCATGCAGTAAGCCTTAGACGCCCAATGGATGCGCATTGTTATAAGGGTAAATATTGTGTTTTTTGACATCGAATGAATTGTAAAAATACTGGATTGATTGATACATACATCCGCCAAGTAAAGGGCCCACACTTTGACCACCTTGGATAAATTCCTTTACATACTTTAGACCGGTTGGGATGAAGGTTTCGCTTTGCTTGGATGGTTTCGGACTGCATGGATGTGGAGGACCGTCTAATAGTTTCCTATCTCCACCGAGGACATATTATTGAGCCTACTGTGCCCTCTAAAAGGTAGCAAAACGAGATAAATCGCTATATTAACTAATTTTTAAAAGATTTATCTTTAAATCGAACCTGGCCAGTAATCATTATCATGGAATTTGGTAACCTGAATTGAGGCCCAAAGAAACATTACATCAGAAAGCATACATAGAGCTGAAAGCCGATAAATAAGTAATATAATCAGTAGTGTAGCGGTGTGACATATTTACTCAAAGGAATCGTCAGCCATCCCAAATCCTTGGCCTCTATGGACGTTGATCGAGGTACACGTAAACGACGTCCTTTTTCAAGTTCTCCTTGAAACATCGGGACATCAAACCAATCCATTACACCAATTTTTGGCATGTTCAGGACTAAAAACGCCATAATAAGAAGCGCAGTCAAGGTACCAAATGCAAGCATCGAAAATACGAATACATTTCTCTAAAATTTAAAGAACATTAATTAAGACGGAATGCACTACGTTCTCAAATAACTACGTCCGTCGTCCAGATTATAATGATGTATCCGGCATGATAAACCATCCACATGGAAATTATTATATATGACAAAAAAAGCTTGTAAAATTCTTTTGGGGCTGAAAAATATTGAGTTTACCGTTATAAAACATCTGGAATGACTATAACGAAGTTACGATCTTGTCCCTAGTGTATAAATTCCTTGTTAAATACCTTGAGGTAGAACTAAAATTGCAATTGCCGTTAATCCACTGCCAATCAGCCAAAGTGTTGAAGTATATCTAGCACAAGCTATTGGTCTACACATTTTAAGAATTTTGAATACTGAATAAATTTATTAATAGTGCTTGCCACACATGACACCTGAGTCGACGGCAATGTTTATACCCAATACTCGTAGAGTAAAAGAGCATATTGTAATCGTGCAGAAAGAAGGAAGCGTTTCCGACCCTATAAAGAATATATATTCTTGTTCGTCTATCTGTCCATCAGACAGACGGAAACTTCCAAGCTAGAAAGTTGGGATTAATCACAAATATTCTTTTTTTAGGAGAGCGCCACTGAATACTTAATACTTATCGAAATGTAGAAGAAAATTTTAAAATCAGACAATCCACCTAAAAGTTATGAGCAAATAATGAAACAGCCGTTAGATGGCCGCTTATCTCCATCTCCCTCGCACTCCCTTTTGCTATATTGTTCTCTCTTGTTATACCTACTAATGTTATAATTTCTTGAGTTTTATAAAAAGGTTCAGCCCAAACAAAATGAACTACTTGTGAAGATTACATAAGAACTTCTGAAAACATGGTTTCGAGAAAATCGCATTAAAAGTAATGAAATATATCTACTTCGCAAGGAAGGTGGGTGTCGACATCTTAATATAAGTTTTAAAATAGTTCGAATTTCTTCGTGACACATTCGTAAAGAGTTATTTTACAAATTTGAGAAATAAAAAAAATTTAATTTTTTTTTCCTATATGTATGTATTTTTCCACTTTCGACTGTTAGAAATTTCCCGCCCCTGAAAATTTGCTGCCCTAGGCAGCTGCTTATATGCCAAGTCCACCACTGCGACCAGTGTATTTTCCCCCTAAGCCCAAAACTGCAATTGAGTTTTTTTTCAGGATATATTTAAAACAAGAGAGAACTCTCTAGTCGGGTTGGTGTCCCGACTATCTGATACCCGTCACTCAGCTAAAGGGAGTGCGAACGGCTATATATAGTAGTCGCCTTCGCACACTCTCCTGGTGCGCTTCGTCACTACATGGACTGCCGTTCATAGTGATATATATTTTTGATCAGAATCACTAGCCGAGTCGATTTAACTTGTCCGTCCGTCTGTCTGTATGAACGCTGAAATCTTAGAAACTACAAAAACTAAAACGTTGCGATTAAGCACACATAATTTTGGGCCTCCTATGCTGCGCAAGTTTCTTTTATCTAAGCGTCACGCCCACTAGTACGCCCACAGTCGCACAGTCGCCAGCCGAAGTTTATATACCCTTGCAGATATGCCTACTTAAAATGTTTTTACATTGTCAAAAATCAAAACGCCTACTTTCTACAAAGTTACAATGGTTTTTTTATTATTTTTTTTATTATTCCTATGGGAGCCACAAGATATAGTGGGCCGATCCGGCTCGTTCCGACATATGTACAACCTGCAATAGAAAGAAGACTTTTGGGAAAGTTTAATCGCGATAGCTTTAAAACTGAGGGACTAGTTCGCATAGAAACGGACAGACGGACAGACGGACATGGCTAGATAGACTCGGCTATTGATGCTGATCAAGAATATACTTTATGTGGTCGGAAAGTCTCCTTCACTGAGTTGCAAACATCTGACTGAAATTATAATACCCTCTGAAAGGGTATACAAAGCCTGGTGCGCACATCTCTAAACATTTTGTAATTGTTTAAATGCCATTTTGTTGTGATTGTTAATATTTTAGCATTTAAAAGTTATGAGCAATAAAGGCGCCAGTAGCTTTGACGACTGTATATCTCCATCCAACTCCCATTAGCTAAGTAACAGGTATATGATGGTCGAAGTACTGGACTACGCGTTCTCTCTTTTTATACCTACTAATATTATAATTTCTTGATTTTAATAAACAGTTCAGCCTAAACAATATTAATAACTTGTGAAGATTACATAAGACCCTCTGCAAAATGTCATCGAATATAATAAAGACAGAATACTGGATTGATTGATACATACATCCGCCAAGTGGAGGGCCCACACTTTGACCACCTGGCTGGTTGTGGAAGACCGTCTAATAGTTTCCTAGTCTCCGAGGACATATTTTTGCACCTATTGAGTTCTCTAAAAAGTAGCAAAACGAGATAAAACGCTACATTATTTAATTCTTTTTGAAAATGTGGACGTTAGAGTGGGTGTGGTACATTAGTGTAACAAACTTGCGAAATATCGTTTAATCGTACCTGGGTAGTAATCGTTATCATGGAATCGGGTAACATGTATTGTGACAAGAAGTAGCATTAAATCAGAAAACATAAAAAGAGCTGAAAACCGATAATTAATTTATATAATCAGCAGTGTAGGAATGTAACATATTTACTGAAAGGAATCATCAGCCATCCAAAATCCCCAAACCCTATTGACGAAGTTGATCGAGGTACACGTAAGCGACGTCCTTTTTCAGGTTCTCCTTGCCACATTGGGACATCAAACCAATCCATGACACGAATTTTTGCCATGTTCAGGACTAAAAACGTCATAATAAGTAGCGCAGTCAAGGTGCCAATTGCAAGCATCGACCATACGTATGCCAATCTCTAAAAATTAAAGAACATTTAAGACGGAATGCACTGCGTTTTCAAATAATTACGTGCGTCAACCAGATTAAAACGATGTACGCGGCATGATAAACCATCCACATGGAAATGATTATATATGACAAACAAAGCTTGTAAAATTCTTTTGGTGCTAAAAAATATCAAGTTTACGTTTATAAAGCATCTGCGATAACTATAGCGAAGTTAGGACCTTGTCCCCAGTGTATAAGTTCTTTTTTAAATACCTTGAGGTTGCACTAATATTGCAATTGCCATTAATCCACTAACAACAAACCAAGATGTTCCACAATATTTAGCGAAAGTTGTTGGTCTACACATTTTGAGAATTTGAATACTGAAAAAATGTATTAATAATGCTGGCTCTCGAGTTTGACACCTGAGTCAACGGCAATGTTTTTGGGTAAGTCCCAGAATGTATGTTTAAATATACAAAATATTGCAAATAATAATGTAATGTATGACACAGTGCTACAAGTTTCTGGATTTATATAAATATGTACATAAGTTTATGTGCCTGACAAATAAATCAATATAATAATATAATTGTTTTTGCAGATTGCTTTTTCAAAAACAGAGGGCCAAATCTGACAGTTACTGGTCTATCATTGGGCGTAAATTTGCTTCTCCTTAAAGTTTCAGTAGAGAATACATTTTTCTAAAGAATATTAAAGAATTATTGGGTGGATACGCCCAGACAAAGAACGCAACGACTATATTTCTTTTAATAATATTTCTTTTTTTTTATTTTTATAAAACAGTTCAGTCTAAGCAATATTGACTACTTATGAAGATTAATTAATGACAACATTTTTTACCCTTTGACATACATCCGCCAAGTAGATTGTCAACACTTTAACCACCTTTGATTCCCTTTAAATCACTTTAAATCACCGGCAAGTAATTTCCAATTTTCTGCAAGGACAGCAAGGAAAGCATGCACGTAAGCCAGGACATATATGGTCACCTACTGAACGCTCTGAAAAGGAAACAAATTAATAATTATATAATCGTATTAGGTATTACTAAAGCAAATAAAATTGTATTTACACTGTCAATTAGAGTGGGGTGGCTTTTTTGCCCGTGAACTGTCGTGTGATCTTACCTCAACAATTGTAGTCCCATTTCATATTACGAACAGGTTATTATTACCTAAAGGAATAGGCAGCCAGCGATAATCCGTGGCCGTCACTTCAGACCGTCTAATAGTTTCCTATCTCCTTCGAGGACATATTACTGAGCCTACTGTGCCCTCTAAAAGGTAGCCAAACGAGATAAATCTCTATATTAACTAATTTTTAAATGATTTATCTTTAAATCAAACCTGGCCAGTAATCATTATCATGGAATTTGGTAACCTGAATTGAGGCCCAAAGAAACATTACATCAGAAAGCATACAAAGAGCTAAAAACCGATAAATAAGTAATATAATCAGTATTGTAGTAGTGTGACATATTTACTCAAAGGAATCGTCAGCCATCCCAAATCCTTGGCCTCTATGGACGTTGATCGAGGTACACGTAAACGACGTCCTTTTTCAAGTTCTCCTTGAAACATTGGGACATCAAACCAATCCAGAACACCAATTTTTGGCATGTTCAGGACTAAAAACGCCATAATAAGTAGCGCAGTCAAGGTGCCAAATGCAAGCATCAAAAATACGTATAGATTTCTCTAAAATATAATGAATATTAATTAAGAAGGAATGCACTACTTTCTCAAATAATTACGTCCGTCGTCCAGATTATAATGATGTATCCGGCATGATAAACCATCCACATGGAAATTATTATATATGACAAAAAAAGCTTGTAAAATTCTTTTGGGTCTGAAAAATATTGAGTTTACCGTTATAAAACATCTGGTCCCTAGTGTATAATTCCTTGTTAAATACCTTGAGGTAGAACTAAAATTGCAATTGCCGTTAATCCACTGCCAATCAGCCAAAGTGTTGAAGTATATCTAGCACAAGCTATTGGTCTACACATTTTAAGAATTTTGAATACTGAATAAATTTATTAATAATGCTTGCTCCCATGTGTGACACCTGAGTCAACGGCAATGTGTTTGGGTGAGTCCTAGAATGCCTGTTTAAACCTAGAAGAGGGTCCGCGATTTCTTAAGAATTTATGTAAGTAAGGTTCTCTTGCAATTGGATTTTAAAGTTGCGTGTTTTGCTAGAAAAAAATATGGGCTTTCCGATCGTTGTCAAAACAATAAACACAAAAATGTGTAAATGTTTTTAGAGCAGGCCAGACCCTACAACAGCGAATTAAATATCCTCGGGGGACAGTAATTCCTTAAACTCGAATGATTATGGATGACCAAGACATACATAACGTTTGGGTGAATTTGAAGAAATCCAAGGAGGATTATCTATTTTAACCTTTATAAAGTCGGAAATGTTTCGTTCCAGCTGTTACATACTTTTCCACAAATACACCCAGAAAAATGATGGACAACATTTTAGGTCATGCATAGCCTAAAACATTTTAAATGGACTAAAAGTTCCTTTTTAGGTCATGTACTGCCTAAAAATGTAAATTTTTGGTATATTTGCCCTACTATTTAGGTTCCGTATAGCCTAATATTTTAGGTCATCGTGGGCCTTAAAATTAATGCATTTTACCCAAATAAATTTGCACGGAACTCTGATACCGTTCTACCGACGCTATAATTCCCAACCAATTACATAGCGCGGATTGCATGGTAACCCACTTCGGTCGTTGAATAAAACAGCGATTTCACTGCTGAACAGTGAAGCCTCTTCGCTCGTTTTTGTGTGTTGGAAGACTAAGCCGACATTGACCTCCAGTTAGCTATAAATTTCTCTGTATTTACTTTATAATATGAAACATTTTTCAGTACAAATTTTTAGGCCAAAGAAAGCCTAAAATTTTGGATAGGGGTTTTCTCATATTTTAAGGCAGCCAATTACCTAAAATCTAGGCCAAAAATTACCCCATTTTAGGCCATTAATGGCCTAACATTTTAGGTCATACAATCCTAAATTTTAGGCCATTCAAGGACTTAGCTCCAGTTTTAGGCCAATTTTACCTAAATTCTAGGCCATTTTTTGATATTTTAGGTCATTTTTTTTTCTGGGTGTATTTTGAAATATTTCCGAATTTCGATTTTAATTTTTAAAAGATCGAACTACTATATCATATAGCTGTGATAGAAACGATCGAAAAATTAATGTGAAATAATAAGAAATTTAACATTTTTGCGATGTGTAAATTAATAGAATGATCTGCAAGGGTATATAAGCTTCGGCTTGCCGAAGCTAGCTTCCTTTCTTGTTTTTATTTGTGTCTATCTCACCACAGAATCAAAATCAAAAAATGTCTTTCGCTGCGAAAACTATTTATTAACACTTATTTTATATCAGTGTGTTACATTTCTTCGCTGGTTATATTGACTACTTTTACTCGAATGCACCTAAACAAATCATGTCCAAATATTACTGAGGGACATAACACAATGCGTCCTGCGGGCCAAATGCACAATAATGCTGCTTTTGCTGGTGGGACCATGTTCTTTACAACAAAAATAAGAAGATTTAATATAATTGCAAAAAAGGCCTTCAATCCATCAATAACGCACAACGCCAATTTACTACCAGTTTTGCAGGATTCTACAACATCCGTAATAGCTTCAAAAATGTTCCTTAATTCACCTCCACCTGATTCCTCAACAAAACATAAAAGAAACTCCTTAACGGCTTTAAAAACGGGGTCAAGCAGCTTGGTTACTGTGATGATAATGCATTCCCAAAACTTTTTAACAAAAATTTTGATCATAAGTGTCGCATAGACGACCATCTTATAGTTATAACCAGCATCTTCATCCTCCTCAGACTCACTATCGTCCTCTCCCTTGTAGTCCGAGTCCTCATCCTTATAGTAGTCCTTTTCGTCAGCCATCAATACACATGAAAATGAACACAAAACCAGAACTAGTAATATAGAATTCATTTCAGACTTATTTTCTGCAGCACTGCCAGTTAGTGATAATAGCAACCAAATGACGATTCATATGCTTTATATAAGTTATGTTCGTACTTAGTACTTTTATTGTAGGAGGTATATAAATTAGTTTACTGATCTACTTTCCAGTGTACGGTTGTTATTCTTTACCTGTCCTATCAAATTGATAGTTGTTTTATTGTAACCTAGTCGATCTAGCCTTGAGATCTATCTGAAATCTTAAAAACTATAAAAGCTAGAAAGCATGTAGATTTTCAAGGTTCCGTTACGCGCCCACAAGTATATATACATAAGTTGGTAAGTTCGCTCGTTTCTAAGGAACTGGATATCTTATGGTCGAGACCAAAACACTTTTAGAAATATTTAACGTACCGCAACCGGAATAACAGCGTAAATATCCTATGCAATTAGTTCCATTTTCAATGCAATTTTTGTTAATAAGCACTCTTACGCAATAAATATTCATGGATAAAAATACTTTCATTATTTTCTTTTCGTCAAATTTTAAAAAAACAAAAAAAAAAAAATCAAGAGAGAACGCTATCAGATACCCGTTACTTAGCTAAAGGAAGTGCGGTGATGGAGATATGTATACAGCTTTGATCGCGCATAACTTTTTAACGAATGGTCCGATTTAAATTTCTTCTACGTTTCGATAGGAATTGGTAAACACAATAAAACTGCATTTTTGCTTTTTCGAAATCTTTAAGGTGGGGGGTGGCCTTCGGCTGCGTAGGAAGCCCAAGAATATGTGTGGGGTTTTCCAACTTTTTAGTTTTAATAGTTTCCCAGATCTCAACGTTCATTTGGACGGACAGACAGACGGACAGACAGACAGAAATGGCTAGATCGACCCGGCTAGAGATCTTGATCAAGAATACATACACTTTATAGGGTCAGAAATGCCTCATTCTAACTGTTACTTACTTTTGAACTATCAGGTGTGTCTCAGAAAACACTAGAGTTTTTTCGAAGAGTTGCTTTCCAAAACAAGTAACAACTAAGAAACTCCCTTGTTTTCCTTGTTTACTCAATCAAGAGCAACACAAAAACAAGAAAGGAAACTAGCTTCGGCCAGCCGAAGCTTATATACCCTTGCAGATCATTCCCATTAATTAACAAATCGCAAAAATGTTCAATTTTCTAATATTTCTCATTAATTTTCCGATCGTTCCTATGGCAGCTATATGATATAGTCGTCCGATTTTGATCAAATTAAAATTGAAATTCGGAAATATTTAAAAAGAGTCATATCCTAGAGTAGAAGATAATACAATAAAAACCAAAGAAGCTAGAATTTATTTCCTATTACTTTTCCATTAATTTTCCGATCGTTCCTATGGCAGCTATATGATATAGTAGTCCGATTTTTTACATAATTAATTCGAAATTCAGAAATATTTAAAAAATAACATCCCCAAAAGTAGAAGGTAATATTTCAAAAAACACCGAAGCTAGAATTTTTTTAAGTTTTTTTTTTCCGATCCTTACTATGGGAGCTATAAGATATAGTTGTCCGATCCGGTCGGTTCCGACATATATACTACCTGCAATAGAAAGAAGACTTTTGCGAAAGTTTCATCCCGATAGCTCAAAAACTGAGAGACTAGTTTGCGTAGAAACAGACAGACGGACAGACGGACGGACAGACGGACATGGCTAGATCGACTCGTCTTGTGATGCTGATCAAGAATATATATACTTTATGGGGTCGAAAACGTCTCCTTCACTGCGTTGCAAACTTCTGACTGAAATCATAATACCCTCTGCAAGGGTATAACAATTGTCGGGGTCCCTTTTACATATAGTCATAATATATTTTATATATTTTATATTTTTTATATTTATTTTAATATATTCTGATATATGACTTTTAAAGCACTTGAGATTCCTTAGCTTCAGGGAAACACCAACTCAGTCCTTAAAAACTATTTTAGCGGGTTACAAATTGAACTATAAACAAGAAAGGAAGCTAGCTACGGTTACTCGAAGCTTATATACCATTGCAGATCATTCCTTTTAATATACAAATCGCAATATTATTTCTCTTTAATTTTCCGATCGTTCCCATGGCAGCTTTATGATACAGTAGTTCGATTTTGATAAAATTAAAATCGAAATTCCGAAATATTTTAATAGAGTCATATTCCAGAGTAGAAGAGAATCACTATGGACGGCAGTCCATGTAGTGACGAAGCGCACCAGGAGAGTGTGCGAAGGCGACTACTATTATATCAAATAAAAACACCTCTTAACGAGGTAAAAAACTAGTGACGACCGCACCTTCAACATACAAAAGTTCTGATATCAACATTTGTGACGAAAAATTATTACACTCGTCATTAAATAGACTTTCTAATATTTTCTCATTCGGCCCGCCCTAGCAAACTATTCCAGCATTTTTCCCTTCACAGGCATTTTCTATTGCAGCGTGCCGAATGAGAAAATATTAGAAAGTCTATTTAATGACGAGTGTAATAATTTTTCGTCACAAATGTTGATATCAGAACTTTTGTATGTTGAAGGTGCGGTCGTCACTAGTTTTTTACCTCGTTAAGAGGTGTTTTTATTTGATATCAGAAGTTTTTGTTTGTTTACATTTGCTCTCATAGGAGCTAATATATACATTTAAATTTAAATTGGTCAATCATAATTTTTAAACTATTGTATTTTAACAAATTAAGTTAAAAAGGCGTTGAAGTATTTCAAAATACCTTTTAAACGAGGTATAGCACATGTCTGTACCTTTAGTAGTGTAGAACTTACAAACTAACGAAATTTAGCTATTTTTAGCTTTTTCCCGCTAAAGTAGCGGCTTTTTCCAAAAGTCGTAGAACAAAAGATTCCTATATGGAACTCTTAAGTGCAAATTTACTGATTCCATGACCCTAAAATACAGTTCGGATACCCTCCCACAAAATTCAATACTCAGGGAGCGTTAATTGTTCGAGCTGGCAAAAGTGGCTATTTTCGTATAAAAATAACTTTTAAACGTGACTTTTTACAGTAATGTGTTATATACCAAAATTTAAGGAATCTCAAGGGCTATACAGTTTAAGGTTT